AATTAATTTTGAACAAAAATCGTAGCGTTGCGAATAAAATAGACGCGATTTTTCTTCGAATTATCAAGCACAATAGCTTCGAATATAGCGTTGCGAACTTATCGCGTTTCAACTTTGCAATTCTATCAGATATTTCAAAGTCTACAGACTCGTTCTTTCCAGAAAGCAAGGTAAAATTTTTCGGATTTCTGTTCGTTGCATTAGCGTGGCGTCGAAACATCGCGATTTTTGCATTGCATTCTAGCATTGCGAAATAAATTATCGCGATTTGTCTTCGAATTAGTTTCGAAGTTAGCGTTGCGAGAATAATCGCGTTGCAATAGCTTCGTTCGTCTTTCAGAGCCCATGTCGCAGCAGCAACACTCCGCAGCACAGGCATTCGCGATTTTCCTTAGAGTTGCGAGACGAAATTAACAACGCGTTGTGTTAGCAACTATTGGCAAGAAATTGCCAATTCTTTCTGTTAGAGTTGCGAAAAATGACAACGCGTTGTGTTAGAAAATAATGCGAAATAAATGCCGCACTGCGAGTAGCACTGCATCATTTCTTTGCCACTTTCACTTTGATTTTCTCTCTGACATACAAAATCAAATTGTAATTCTCATATTCGGTGTCAATCTCCTCACGTGGGGGGTACGTTAGAATTTACTTCTTAATTTACGTTTGTTTCTTAATTTACGTTTTTCCATTTTCTCCAAAATTGCACTCTTGTGCTGTTGCCGATTTATATTTTAAGTCGGCTTTCGAAACAAGATTTGGTCCAAAAATTGATGAAATTGGTATTCCACCGATCGGAGGTCCCTCAGGGGTTCACTCACGGGTGGGGCACCTGGGCGAGTACGGGGGGTAGCGTATTTTTTAAGCCGTATCCTAAACCGCAATCGTGATTGTATAATCGTAAATTGCATTACGACGTTCGTCGCATTCCCTACGAACGAATGAACGAACGAACGAACGAACGAAACGAACGAAACAACGAACGAATCGAACGAAACAACGAACGAAACAACGAACGAAACGAACGAAACAACGAACGAAACAACGAACGAAACAAGGAACGAAACAACGAACGAAACAACGAAGGAAACAACGAACGAAACAACGAACGAAACGAACGAAACAACGAACGAAACAACGAACGAAACAAGGAACGAAACAACGAACGAAACAACGAAGGAAACAACGAACGAAACAACGAACGAAACGAACGAAACAACGAACGAATCGAACGAATCGAACGAATCGAACGAAACAACGAACGAAACGAACGAACGAACGAACGATGCCAGGACCACCGGTAAATACGGTCTATCAGTCATCCACCGAGACGCGGAGGCGGACTCACGTGCAGATGAATACTATGGAAGGTACATGCATGTTTATGAATATATCTGCCTAGTGAATGTTATAGCAACACCGACGAACTGTGTGAGTGTGCCTATGTGTGTACATGTATACGGGGTTGGGAGCTGAGCTTATACGTGGAGATGCGCACCGACGATCTTTCCTGCGTGTACGTAGACGTGTTTATAAATGGCTGCGACCATCCATCCACTGATTAAAACGAGCAGAAACACATAGAGGAGATGAATAAATACAGACGTACGCCGTGGTATAAATGAAGGCACGCCGAACGTGGACGCGCGGAATGAATAACCGCCTATCAAAAACACTATTCTTGTGCACGCGGGAAAAATGTGTAGACGACAGTCGGTTGGTTTCCCTGCTCCGTCGAACTGTTTGTTTAGCGTTTTTGTAATTGCATAGAGGTTACACTGATTAAAATGTTATTTCTTTTACAATAGCGTATTCGTAGCGTGCTGGTAAATATATTACAGCTGTTTAACACATTAAGTGTTAAAAAATTCCTGAATTTTAAAAATTCCTACAATATCAAAGTAGTTAATTAATAGAACTGATGCTAGGAAATTAAAATTTATCACGGTGAATAGTATTGTAAATCTTTAGCATTTTATGCATCCGAATCGAATTCATTTTATTCGAATTTATTACGATAAAAATAAATTTTGAAAACTAGTCAGCAATTAGTGTCACCCATATGTGACCGACGTGGCACTCAACGTGTTAAATAAGTTATTTTGATCAATTATTTTTGTTTCTAATAGATGTGCGGGATATATCAAAACATTTCTCATTTCAAATTACAGTAAATTCCCCCCAATTGTCCTGTAGTTTGTAAACAAAAGAGGACAATTTGGGAAGAGGAGATACAATTATTCAACCATCGCGGTTTGTTATATATATATATATATATATAAGAATATTAAACTGTAAGTAGGAAAGATCATAACGTATGTCCATCCTAAAGTTAATAGTTAGCTAGTGAACAACAAACAACAAGGTTCATCATAGGTTTATACTTTTCTATCTGAAACTGTATATTCTTTTGATCTACGATAAGAAACATAAATCTTTCCATTTGAAAAAAAGGAAGTTGGCCTTGAAATTTCGAAACTACAAAAAAGTGAATACAACGTCTCACTAATCCCGTTAAAATTCAATGACTTTCATATTTAACAATTTTTAATTAAATGCACAATTTCAAAGTTATTTTAGTTATATGACTCACCCTTACTGTATAATATGTATGTATGTTTAAATATACATATATCATAAGTGACATTATACGCTACATTTAACTTATCATGACAATTTATTATTCACTAACTCATAAATCTAAATTGTACGAATCAATCTATAACTGTTAGAAACAGTCATCAATGACACTATTGTTAATGCGACCCCTTCGAAATAAATTGGGACATCAAAAAAGAATTCAAAATTTAACTATTTTTTACAGTACTGATATATAGTAATAAAATGATATCGCGTCAAACAAATTTCCTTTTTCTTGATCTATTAATACAAATATTCTTGAGAAACAATGTATCGATAATGTCTCATGATTACGTGATCATAATAGTATTCATTTAAAAGTAAATTGTACAAGAAAAATTATACATGAGAAAATATTTATATAATATTATATAACATTAATATTTATCAGCGTAACGTAATCGTCGAAAGTACTGAAATAATACTCAACACCGTTCAAAGGCTTCCTTGCAGGATAATATTTTATTTACACAATTTGATTACACAATCCAAGGAACAGTGCGATGTATACTGTGTTCAATCTAGTAAATTACGTATAATATTTTTGTCCCATTATACAACAAACCGTTTAATCGTTGGCATCTTATAAATAAGATAACTAATTAAAATATACAACAGCAGAGTAAATAATTGCTACAATGTGTTTTAGAAACTAGTAAACATGATTTTTTCAGATAATAAAAGACTACTTCTTTAAACACAAGACACACCTATTAAAAATTATTTACAGCGTGTCAAGCAAGTATTCGGGCATCTCTTAAAACGCAATAATATTTTTTAAAATGAACCAAACGATTTGAATTTGTTTGAGATATAAGATTCAAAGTTTACTAGACAATAAGAAAAAATTTTTTGCAAAAATTTCAATTGCTTGGAATGGCAAACAATAATTACAAAATTAGCTTCCTCAACTTTTTTACCTAACAGTAAGCCTAGAATGTAAATTGAAACAATGAAATTTGTAAATCGTGGTAACTTCTATGCATGCTGAAAAATTCATCGAAATCGTTGCCAAGCGTCTCGTGTTATCCCGCCCCTAATCCTGTGTTCCAACTACAGAGTAATAAAATAAAGTATGTTCGTCGTGTGGGTCCTCTTGGACCCTGACTACGTCGTACGGTCTATTTCGTCGATTTCAATGAAATCTTTAATATGCATATAACTTAACGAAGCCTTAAACCGCATTGTTTACATTTTTTGTTCTATGCTCAGATAAAACAGATAAAAACAATGAAGATACAATTTTCTTATTTCTTTTGTTGCTCCAACCAGATGCAAGTTTTGCAGAAATTTGGTTAGCCATTGTCTAATAAACTACTCCTTCTGATCTCTCAAAAAAAAAATTGTAATCATTCGGTCCAATTTTAGAGATGCTATTTTAAGCTGTGCTAATTGTAATTAAAAAGCGTTCGAACACTTTCGTGGCCCACTACTTATCGAGAAGTAACACTCGAGCTCGTGTCTAATTTCTGTAGGAACCTATCGACAGCTTCGCACGCGGCCTCGAAGACGGAAACCGGGTCAGCTTCGCCGTCGATCTGTACCAAACAGTCTTTATAGTGTTTCACGATCGGCCGGGTCCTCGTATGGAACTCCTTCAGTTGGTTCTTAATGTCTTCATAGTTCATCACCACAACTTCCCTGGTGGTAATCGATCTGCCCATTATGCGATCGCTCAGCACGGAATCCCGCACGTCCAGGTACAGGACGAGATGAGGCGGCCGCACGAACCTGTCGAACAATATGCTTTGCTCCTTCCGCCTCGGAAAACCACTCACGACCACGCCGTGCTTGTTCAGCCGATTGTTCAGTATCTTGGTGATCATTAATTCGACCAGTATGTCGGTCGGAACAAGTTGACCTTGCGACATCAAACGCGCTAATCTGAAAGCTCTCTCCGTTCGCGTCGATATCTCCTCACGGATCAGGTCGGCCGTCACGATGTGCAGGAAATCGTAGTGTTCCGCCAATTTCATACCCAGTGTTCCTGCAATGATCGGCGGTGTCAGCGGAATCGAAATGAAATAAAATACAAGGAACTCTTGATTAATCGACACGACTCGTACCGTTGCCGGGTAAATGACCAGTTTTTACAATTTCCATGCTACAATTATTCAAATTATGAATATACTTTCACCTGAAACGGTTCTTTTTTATTCATCCAAATGCGTATTAAACCTAGCATGTTTGAAGGAAGATCGAAATATGGCCACAGAATTTTGAACAGGTGTCTTTGTTCTAGCAATGTTCCTTTGTAAGTAATGTATTATTTAACAGTATTGTATAAATAATTATATCTCGAATAGAAAAAATAATATTTACAGTACCTTCTATTACATGGATACAAACCTCCCTTAAACCTTCTACTATCTTATGCGGCCTAGGGTTAATATAAAAATTGCAAAATATCTACATAAATTCAATGTTGTAATTTTTATAAGGCAACGCATACGTGTATTAGTGTTAACTTACAACAAAAAGTTGATCAAAATGCAATTTTCAAAGTATATAGCTGTATACAGGATGTCCCAAAAATGTCTCGCAATCCGAAAATGCAATCGGCGACATTGTTTACATCCGACTAGCATGCGTCATTCAAATATACTATTTACCCGGAAAAGGATAAATGTATATAAAGGGTAAATAACTCGGAAAGGAAAGATCAGCTGTGCGAGGCGACCGACCCAATGAATGGAACTGGGCTTTGACCGCTCGTTCGCTCGGTCGCCTTGCGCCAGACGAGCTCGCCTCTTATTGGTCACTGTTTTTCGTTAATAACTCATAAACAAAGTCGCGGATTGCATTTTTGCTGTAGATAAAGTTACTTCAAATGAACTCGGGAATCTCTTTCACCTTTTCAGGAATCATATCTCTTTCCGGGTGTTAATTTAATTATGGGACACCATGTATATTCGAATTGCTGGTAGGTGATCTGGGAAAATACTTCGAGTGCAACGAGTTAATTAGAGCTCATTTGTACAAAATATAATGTAATATAATATATCATTCAAAAATGATGCGAATTGCAAACAAAATATTTCTGAATAGAGGCAACTGAACGGGAGATCCAATGGTAGAAATGGTAGTATGTGTATAGTATAATGAGGTAGCATAAATAAAATAAGACGTAATTACAAGTTTGGATAAGAAGAATTGCTTAAAGGAATTGAAACACCGAGGAGAACAATAAAATGCATTACATTACATACAAAATATTAAATAAATTAATTCCAAAAAATTCTATAACTAATTTTAAGTTAAAAAATAATGCTGGTACAGTGGTGCACAGTTAAATTTATACAAAATTCGTACGGTTAAATTTTAAGCATATTATCGATTGCTTAATAATTAGTTCTATTGCGCATTAATTAATTGAACTCATTTTAATCGGAAGAATCTCAGCTATCCATTGATAATGCAATTATAAAGGTAAGGTGACAATAACGAAAAGTGAAATTTTCTTTATAGCAGGTTTATTTTTTTTTTATGATCACGATGCCACTTTAACACTAAATGTATCGACTTCTATCAAATCACGCGTTTTACATTTTTTATGTTACAATTATTGAAATCATAAAGCTGGTCTCATCGGAAATTGAAAAAGAGATACGATTAATCGAGCCTTGCGCCTCATTTTTATAGTTGTTAACAATCGGCGCTTGTGAAAATGAGACACGAAGTTTGAGTAATAGCATCTTCTCTTCCCAAATTGTCCATTTTTGTTTACAAGCTGAAGGACAATTAGGGAGAATGTACTGTACATATTTCTTTCTTCAGGGTTACACTATTATAAAAATT